CCGATTCTCCGACGATACAAACTACTCGGAATTGTTGACGGTACTGAGCCGTGTCCACCACCATTTCTTCCAGATCGATCCATTAATCCATCTTTTGAGCTCTAGTATGAAAAGGATCAGAATCTTCTGATTTGGCTCAATTCTACACTCTCGGAAGATGTAATTCCTTTCATTGTTGGTGTGTCTTCCTTTCGAGATCTTTGGATCAAGCTTGAGCAGCGTTTTGGTGGAATCTCCAATGCTCACATCCATCAGCTTCGGTCTCGTCTTCAAGAAATTTAGAAAGGTACTTAATCTGTGGTAGATTATCTTCAACAACTAAAAAAATTCTCTGATTCTGTTTGCTGCTAGTGCACCTATCTCTGATCGAGATTAAATGGCGGCTACTCTAGTTGGATTACCTTATAATTTCGAATCATTTATTGATTTTGTCATGTTACATCTCTCTTCAACATCTCTAGATGAGTTACATGGCCTTCAACTTATCAATGAGCTTTCAATGTCTCGTCGTAAGAAGCTTTCTTCCTCCAGCATTGAGCCTTTTCAGGCATTTTCTATTTAGTCTGAACCGCCTCTTCTTCCAACTCGACCGCCTCAAATTTATGCTACACAACCTCAACAGTCTTTCTTATTCAACTCTAATCATGGAAAGAATAACAATCGGGGCAATCAATATCACAATACTGGTCGGTTTAACACTAATCGTGGACACAGAGGAAATTATCGTGGTCAATACTCCAATCGTAGTCATTAGCAGGGTTTCACAACTCTTCGTTTTCTGGCACTCATATTCCTTGCCAAATCTGTTGCTCTACAAGCCATGAAGCCATTGAATGCTTTAATCACATTAACCCTGACATTTCTAGGAAGATTTCTCCTGCAAAACTTGCAGCAATGTGTGCACATTATACCTCTAAGCCTTCCACATCTTGGCTTCTGGATTCTAGGGCTGCATCTCACATCACTAATGACATTGACAATATTTCTTCACCAATATCGTACATTGGAGATGACAAAGTTTACATCAGTGATGGTAAAGGTCTCTCTATACACCATATTGGTCATTCTTTTTTGCATTCTTTTAATGTTGATTTTAAGTTGAGCACTGTGCTTTATGTTCCTCAAATGAAACATAATCTATTATCTGCATCCCAAATTCTTAAAGATAGCTACCGTGCCTTAACTCTTGACTCTGATGGATCTGTTGTGAAGGATCATGCTACGGAGATGACGCTTTTGCAGGGTTAAGTTAAAGATGGCTTTTACCCTTTGCAAAGTTGTCCCTCCACTAGTCAATCTCTTGGATCTTCTTATGCTTTTGTTAGTGTCTAAGGTTTAGTTACACTCTGGCACAGCCGGTTGAGACATCATTCCTTTACTATATTTCGAAGAGCAATCTCTAGTAATAAGCTTGCTATTCAAGGTACAACATATGTTGATTTCTTTTGCTCCAAGTATGCTATAGCTAAAAATCATAAACTGCTATTTGGTTCATTAACTATATCAACCTCTCATTCTTTTGAGCGATTACATTATGATTTGTGGGGACTAGCCCTTGTCACTTCAGTGAGTGGTTTTTGGTATTATTTTCTCATAGATGATGATTTTAGCAAATAGAACTGGTGTTTTCCTTTAAAGACTAAATCGAAGGTGTACTCTACTTTTGTACTGTTCAAAGCTTATGTTGAGAATATTGTTGGTAATAATCAAGATCTTACGTTCAGACTCAAAGGGTTAATTTACAAGTTTACAATTTAAATCTTACATACTCATGGTATTGTGCATCAACTTAGTTGTCCACACACACCAGAACATAATGGTTGTGTGTGTGGAGAGGAAGCATAGGCAACTTGTTGAGACAGCTCGGACTTTGTTAGTTGACTCTAGTGTTCCCCATCATTATTGGGTTGAAGCTTTTACCACAGCCATTTATCTCATCAATAGGCTACCTATATCTGGAAATACTAAATCACCATGGGAGTTGTTGTTCCATAAGTATCCAGATTATTCCAAACTTAAAGTTTTTGGTTGCAGTTGTTATCCATGGTTAAAACCATATATCTCATCTAAGCTTGATGGAAAGAGTAAGAGCTGTGTTTTCATAGGCTATAGTTTACAACACAAAGGTTATATATGTTTGGATTTAAACACCAATAGGGTTTATATCTCAAGGCATGTCACATTTGATGAGGGAACTTTTCCATTTAAAGATGTCAAGCCTATTTCATCCTTTGTTGATCATTCTTCCTCTCTGTCATCACCTATTGATCTCCACTTTTCTATGCCCACATCATCTATATACACTACACTTATGCCTCCATCACTATCCTCCTCCACTTCTCCACAGCATAATGCATCTTCACAATCTGTGCATTATCCTCAACCTGTGCCTATACACCAACCTGTGCACTCTTCTTTATCTGCACCAAATGTTCATCCCATGGTCACTCGAGTTATAGTACTAGTCTATGTTGATGATATTCTAGTTAGTGGCCCTGATTATAATGTCTGCAACCAGTTTATAGAAAAGTTAAGTACTATATTTCCTGTCAAAAACCATTGATGCTATGTTTCTTGATCAAAGCAAGTACTTGTTTGATCTGTTACAGAAAACAAACATGGTTGGATCTAAACCATGCTGCACTCCTTTTAGCTTTACGAAGTTAGATCACAGTGGTGAATTACTTGCCAATCCCACTGAATACAGATCTCTTGTAGGTGCTCTCCAATACTTAACTTGGACAAGACCTGACATTTCATTTGCAGTGAATCAAGTCTGTCAATTCATGCATGCCCTTACTGTTATCCATATGCAAACAGCTAAACACATATTGAGATTTCTCAAAGGTACCATTGCTGATGGCCTCTGGTTTAAGAAAGGTCCAATGCACTTGTTAGCCTACTCTGATACAGATTAGGCTAGTTGTACTTATGACAGAAGGTCTACAAGTGGTTCCTATGTTTTTCGGGCACCAAATTAGTTAGCTGGAGTGCCAAGAAGCAATCCACTATGGCTCATTCATTCACTGAGGCTGAGTATAAATCCTTGGCTCACACTGCTGTAGAGGTTACTTGGATATGCAAAGTGCTCAAAGATTTTGGTTTTCCTCTATCTCACAAACCCACTCTCTAGTGTAATAATATCTTGACCATCTCACTTGCATCCAATCTTATATTTCATGCTCGAACTAAGCATGTAGAGATTGATTATCATTATATTCGTGAGTTAGTGCTTGCAAACTTGGTTGCAGTTCAGTATGCTTGTAGCCAGGATCAAATTGCAAATATTCATTCCAAAGCCTTGTCTAAAAGTAGGTTTCTGTTTCTGTAGTCCAAGCTTTCTCTTGGAACTTTGATTCTTCCAAGTTTAGCTTAGGGGGGAGTAAAGATGAAGATGTCACGTCATGACTAGAGTTGGTTATTAGTTGTTGTAAGTTTGTTACAAATGTAATTAGTTTGTTACACAATGTAATTAGTCTTAGGTAGTTAACAGTCAATAGCCAAAAGGCTATATATATGTAATTGTATTATTCATTTACAATTAATGAGAAAATACATCTTTCTTCATATCTAAGAAAACCTCTCTCAAGAACTCTGAGTTTCTATAAAGAGGAATACTACTAGGCAGTAGTATTGAGTGGCTGAAAAAAAAAATAAAGAGTTAAATCAATTTCAAAAACCATTTTAACTAAAAGCTTTTATTTAAAGAATGCTACTAGATCCACCCCATTGTCCTATTTCTACACCCCACATTATAATCTCACCCACCATACAAAATTTAAAAACTAAAATCCTATTAATCCACCCCAATTATTCCTAAAATAACCTCAAATATCTAAATCCATTTTTTTTTTCACCTTAACTGCATCATCAGTCAAACGGGCTCAATTTGAAGCTAGTTGACATTGGGCTGTGCAGTCGCCATTGGACATGAGAGGTTCTCTCCTCGAAATTCCAATTACATGTACAACATACAAATCGAATGATGATAGGTTTATCGAACCCCTAATACCAACTTTATGACAAATTTGAACGGAACAATAAACAACCATGGAACAATCTCGAGATGCGGCCGCTGCGCGCGAGACTTAACCTGGAATAACTAGACCATCAACTGTCGTCGTCAATATTGTGGAGGCAGATGGTGGGTCTGAGAACTCGATTTTCTTGGAGCAATTTGAGATTGACGAAGGGACCCGACGAGGTGTTGGGGTTGTTAGTGATCGATAGCGTGTGGGTTTGACGGTGGTCATGGTGGTTTGCGATCTCTCTCTCTCTCTCTCTCTCTCTCTCTTTCCCTCTCTAGGGGTTGGACATTCGGCGAGGCCACCATGGGATCGGATGTTAGCAAGGACACGCTTGAGAGCTATAACAGCGTATACCTCCTCGGCGATGCAGACATGGGTGGGGAAAATTTTCCAAGTCCTTTGATGTAATTTTACAAAAGGGTAAAAATGGTAGTAAAGTTTTATAAACTGGTGGGATGGGAAGATAAGACAACGGGATGAGTTTATCAACACTTTATTTAAATTATGTAAAGAGGAGGATTTAGGTCTCCAGGTGTAGAGATTTGAGTCTAGAGAGCGAGACACTATTTTAGTCAACTTGAATGAAACGATATTTTCATAACACTTTGATTTAAAATTTGGGTCCTCCAACATTATCCCTGTTTTATTAAAATTATGTTATTTTAGAGTAATGTTATTTATACTATATTTTTATACCACATTTCTATATCTCCTTAGGTGACATCTGATGTGCACAACCACATCATTGGAAAATTTTGCAAAATCCAAGGAAATGAAGGAGAAAAACTTCAAGTATACCACAATCATTATTTATTAACTAGTTTTTCTTAATTATTAGTTTATTAAATAATGAACTAAATTTAAAAATCTGATTAATTCAAATAATGTAGTTATTCACATCAAATGACACCAAAATGGTATGAAAATATAATATGAATAACATTACCAGTTATTTTAGTAGGCAGAGAAAGGTACACATCGGACAGCCAATAAGCTTTCGCTTGTGCCGTATGGAGGGTCCTTAGCTCTCTCTGTGACTCTCATCTTACTGTCAGCCAAATCAAAGACCTCTTCTTCTTCAATCCAGAATTTGTTTTGCCTTTTGTTCAGCCACTGATCCATCCAGTCGTTTAAGGTATACTCGCCGTAGTCTCCAATCAGCTCCGCCGAATCGTTTCATTTTTGGAAATGCAGTTTATGGTAATCTTCACTTCCAGAGACACGGACAGTGAGTTTTCTTTTCTTTTTTGGTTGTTTTGATTTCAGCTCTCTCTTTCTTTCTTTTGCTCTGGTTTTGGGTATCTCAGACTTTGAAGGGAAGAACTGAAAAAAAAGGTAACATGGCTTTAAATCCACTCTTGCTTTGTACATTGACTAGTTTAGTTTACTAATTTCTGGGGTTTTACCCATAATCTCACAGAAAGGCACGGATTTTAATTTACATTTTACAATTTTATATTACTTTTCAGCAAAAGCATGAATATCTGGTTTTTCCATTTTATTGCTGGGTTTCTTTCTGTCTCTTGTTTTGAAATTTTGATTTAAATTTAACTGGTATTAATTCTGTTATTTACTTGCATTGAATTTCCCCACAAAACCCTTTATTTCTTTTTAGCACACAGAGAATCAAGGCTCATCAATTTGAATTTCTTTTTTCTAGTTTTATTTCAAAGTTCTAAAACCATTTGTCCTGAAATATGTAAAACCCACCATCAAATTGTTTTATTTTGTTTTGTTTTATTTTATTTTATAATTCCTCAGCTGTTTGCTGTGATTCGGGTTCTGAATTTCTGTAGATATGATGATTGCAACTTGATCAGTAGATTAGTCTTTAATTTTCTTTAGTTGTCTGACCTGAAACAAGTTCTATGCTTAGTGGTAAAGTTTCAGTTTTGTACATCTGTCTTTTAATTAGATATGCTAAACCCTTTACCAGGGATGTTAATATTTAACAAATTCTTCAGCTTCACATCATTTAATTTTTTAGTGTATCCACTGATTAATTGTTATCTGAGAATAGTGAAATTTTCGTTGTAATTTATTTCATGGCGCTTGCTTATAACATGTTTTCTGGGCAGAAAAACCTTTATTTTAAGGGATGCTTGATTAAATTAAGAAGGTTTCAAGTTAAATCTTTCAGCTACTTCTGCTGGATTTGTTTTCTCATTAAGGGTGGACAGCTTTTGTTTTGGTGCTTCTTGGTCCTCTTTTCAGGTTTCTGAGTTCTTTTGTTACGCATTAACTTCTGTTTTAGAGGTGTTTTCTGAAAAATTTTCGTTCCTTTTAGCAGGTTTAAAATAAACCTTTAAAAGTGATTTTCTTTGTGAATTGTGATGTCACCGCCACTGCTTGGTGTTGGTGAGGAGGAGGGTCAGAGCGATGTTACATTTTTGTCTTCTTCGGGTTCTATGGAGAGTGTATGCCAAAACAGCTTGGAATTGAAGGAGCAAAATTACATGGGATTATCTGATTGTTCTTCAGTAGGCAGTTCAAAGGTCTCTACTGCCTCTGATGGAAGTAAAAGTAGTCTGAATTTGAAGGCCACTGAACTTAGACTCGGGCTTCCTGGATCCCAGTCTCCCGAGAGAGACTCAGATTTGAGGGTAATCACCACTCAACTTGATGAGAAGTCCCTATTCCCGCTGCATCCTTTAAAGGATGGCCACTATTCTTCATCGCAGAAAATAGTTGTTTCGGGAAACAAGAGAGGTTTCTCCGATGCTATGGATGAGTTCTCAGAGGTAAAAACAACTGGTTTGTTTGAAGAGAGAATTGGATATGTTTATTTATTTCTTTATTATGTCTGGCTTTACAATCACCCAATTTGTGATGCAGGGGAAATATGCTAATTCAGAGGTAAACGTGTTGCTGTCACCCAGACCTTCTCCAAACTTGGGACTGAATCTGGTTCTACACTTGAGATCCTTGGGACTCAACCACCTAAAACAAAAGAGGTGGCACCAGCAAAGGTATTACAAGAGAGGCCTCATGCTGTCAATGATACCAGACCAAATCATACCGGAAATAGTACTAGCAGTGCACCTGCTTCCAAGTAAGTGATTCGAGAAAATTGCCGGACCATTGAAATATATTTGGCAGAAATTTGTACTTTGGCCTTTCACAATGAAAATGGAGTCTCAGCTTTCTTATATGTCAGGGCGCAGGTTGTGGGTTGGCCACCTATAAGATCATTTAGGAAGAATTCATTGGCCACTACATCAAAAAACACTGAGGAAGTAGATGGAAAATCGAACCCTGGTGCTCTGTTCGTCAAGGTCAGCTTGGATGGTGCACCTTATTTGAGGAAAGTAGATTTGAAAAATTACTCCGCATACCAGGAACTTTCTTCTGCTCTTGAAAAGATGTTCAGCTGTTTTACCATAGGTGAGCAGTTGTAAACATTCAATGTTTACAGATGTCATGGTCTATTCTTTCATACATCTAATTTACGCTGGCTGAATTATGAGTTTAACTAGAAAGTTTCTGCATTTTGCATGGATCTAGTTACTGCTATGGTTGTATGATTTCAGGTCAATATGGATCTCATGGAGCTCCAGGCAGAGAGATTAGCGAAAGCAAGCTGAAAGATCTGCTTCATGGCTCAGAATATGTTCTAACTTACGAGGACAAAGATGGTGATTGGATGCTTGTGGGCGATGTTCCTTGGGAGTAAGTCCTCATTCATCTGCACATTTGTTTATCTACTAAGTTCCTTTTGTTATGTACGTAATTGACTTGCTAGTGATTCAAAAAAGCTTAAATCTCAAAAACTGCCCTTTTAAAACTTAACTTTTGCCCTTAGGCTGGCAATGGAGTTACACTTTGTATCAAGTAGCATAGGGTTACGTTACTTATTTGGTAAAGAGTGTTACGTTACTTTGGCTATAGTTTGAAGGGAGCTGTTATCTGCACTCCGCCCTAGTGAAAAATATAATGGCGGAAGGAGGATGACCTATTTTGAGTGTTAATTACATTCCCAATATAAAATCTGAATTGATTTTGAAATCCTGCAAGTCAATGAACCGGTGAACTTTTATTTTTGAGCAAAACGGTGAACTTTCATGGATGGTTGTTAGATATCTACGTGGATTATTTATATGAGCTTCTATATACTGCAAACAACATGCACGTAACTTTAATGCGCACATTAAAGTTGTTCCATTGGAAGATTAGGGCCATCAGTTTGATATTAACTTGGGATGGCTTGAACTTGAAGAACATGTGGAAAACTGATGAACCATGGGGAATGGAGGCAAAACATGATATTTTAATGTGTAACCCATAGAACTTGATGTTAGTCGTATTTATGGGCACTCTTGTTGAGCAATGCGATTAAAGTATATCTAAAGAATCATAAAGATGTGAATGTTGATGTAATTGCATTTACCTAGTTAACCGTCGACTTCTATAGATGTAGATGCATTTTACTTCCTTTGTTCACCACTGATTGAAGTCAATAAGGCAGCTTCACCAAGATTGGCATCTTTGCTATATCTGTTAGCTGTAAGCCAACATTTCATTGATGTTATTTTATGATATTCATAGACATAATCTTTAAAAATTCCAACTATCATAATAAATAATATATGGGAAACTTGTATTTGCATAATGATGAGAGAAAATTAGCTTTACGACCGAGAAGGAAACTACCCAAAACAGCTTATGCATTATGGCGCAAAAAGGAATCCAGAGTCTTTTGACAAAGTTCTGCTCTACTATAGTGTTCAAGAAACGTCTTAACCATTAATAAGATAGATTGTTTCTTATTCTAGGGATGTGATCTCTTTTCTTTTATAGCGCTGACCTCTCATGGTCATGGATAGGTATGGTTGGAGTGTTTCAAAATGTGGGCATGGTGTGCTTTAATGTGTTGCCATGCATGGACGGGTTATGTTACCATGTGCCTGCAAATAGTTAATTGTCATTTTGCTTCAATAAAATATGTTCAGGTGTAATGCTGTTAATTTTGAATTTGTACCAGGGCTATTTTTTTATTTTATTTTCCTTAAAGTCTGATGCAAATATGAACTTTTGACAGCATGTTTACTGATACCTGCAAAAGGATGAGGATTATGAAGAGCTCAGATGCCATCGGCCTAGGTGCGCATAGTATATGTTCCACGGATTATCGTTAATCAGTATCACATAATTAAGTCAGCCTTTCACTTTCCCCTACTATTGACATATGCACTCTGCTGATTTTTTTCCAGCTATATAATCGGAGTTTAGTTTTATCCGTAAATTTGGAATTTTTCCTTGTTAGGATTGAAACGGTAGAACTAATTGGTTGCTGATTATGGTGTTTTTTTCTTTTCATTGGTACATAATTAAATTGAACAAATAATTAGGATGGAACTTTTCTTCTTGTCTTTGTATTTATATTTGTTCGTTTTCTGTGCAGCTCCGAGGGCCATGGAGAAGTGCAGGAACAGGAACTAGCCATTAATATACATTGTGATGCCTTCCATCTAACAGTCTATGAATTTGGAATGAAGGTAAGGCCTAAATACAGGCAACCAGGTTACTTGGAGTGCAAGGATTTGTAGATCTTGGGGCTGGACGGGACGTCACAGGTGGCTGGTCTTATTATCTTATTGCTACATCTGTGTTTTTTGTTTACCATGGATTCATGTTTTTGAGAGTTCTGTGTCTAACTTATTGACGTTATCAAAACTACCGAAAGTCAAATCTCTGAAGTTGTATGTGCACAGGTTCCTGTTCCCATGCAGGATCCTCAAGTTTGTGAAGTGCCAATTGTCTGTGAACCCTTTGTTATGAATGCGTGTATGATCCAAAAGCTATGCTGAGTTCTCCTAAGTAACCATAATACACGGCTACACTATATTTATAGTGCTTTATTCCTTATCCTACCTAGATAAGATCTTGTAATAATCTGGAAATCTAATTAGAACAATAAATAAAGGTTTCTTATTCAAAGTAAAATTCGGACGGAGGAGAAAATCACACTTCTGACTAACCAAATCAGCTTCGATTTGTCCCAAGAAAGTATGTTTTTAAAGCTTAATGTGTCCTCTTTCAATCCTAAGAAGGAACCTTCCTCTAAAAATGCCATCTTGACCGTCAAAATGGCCAACATATCCAGAAACAGTCAATTTGGGAGCTCTTATTTTTTCATCACTGGTCAAACGGCTGGTAATACAAATCTGGAATTTTAACACGATCATCTTGAAAGATTCAAGAACCCTCTCCAATTGGATTTACTTCAAAATTCCTCCAAAATATATCACAAATTATCAAAAATAACAAATAAATTATAACTAAGAATAAGATAAAATATATAATATAATATGGACTTCATCAAAGTTTGTCATCCTCGCTAAAGCCCGTTAAATACACAAATGAAGCCATGCAATTGAACAGTTTTCGGTCTGTAAATCAGATAACACAGACCATGACAAGTGAGGAAAGAAGTGGTTGTTTAATAAAGGAGGAACGTGTTAATTTGTATCCAAAGAAAAGACCCTCCATTCCTTGTGACAAATGAGTTACAATTTGAGCTGCTTTATTACACGAACTAGGGTCATAAAAATTGTATGCAACTTTACAAATAAATAATACTAGAGAGAACACGTAATAATGCATGTCAAAGGTCTTGTGGAAATAGAAAATCAATAAAACTAATCGAGTAATGCCAAGGAGATCCACATACATATATATCAAAGAATTTTATACTTTTATGTAACAAGTGATATATACAACTAATAGTTAATGAGATAAATATATTAATTAATGTGACGTGATACATCAAATAATTTACAAGCGTAGTAAAGAAACAAATGAACTTCCTTATATCTTCCAAGTTCCACTTTATATGTATGGGGGCTTCGTTACCTTGTTGAATTACTCGAAATCTACTATATAATAATAGGCCCTGATTGTTGTTTGTACGTATATATGCATTTGTTTTGACAACCTCTTATACCTCATGTTTTATTTAACAAATGATATTATTTACATTAAAGAGTGAAAAAATGAGTTAAGTTTCATAATAAGTTAAGTTTTATAATGAGTTAGCAATAATGTGATCAAATTCATTTATCCAATAATCGAATTTAAAACTACAGTAGGAATAATAAAATAAAAGGAGAGCACTTACAAGTAAAAAAAAAATTATTAGAATGTAATACTAAGTCACCTTTTGTACCACTTGGGTTGATTTTGGAAATGTACATAAAAGTCGGTTAGAATGATAATAATTACTATTATTAAACAAAAAAAATGGATTTAGAAGTTCTCTCGAGACAAACAAAACATTCCTTTTCTTACTCATGAATATACGACTTAACAGTTTTGACTCAACTGACTTCGGTTGTGCCACGAGGCGATGGACTAAGTTAAAGGAATAGGATCCTATTTGGATTTTTTTTGAGAATTTCGGAGATTATTTTATTGTGTTCGTTCATCAATTATTCTGCAGTTAGAAATTAATTTAAATTTTTTATTAAAATTGATCACAAACAATTACTAATAAAAATTGATCGCATGATATAAAATAAATGAACATAATAAAATGATCTCAGAGATATTCACAAACAAAATCTGAAGAGAATCCTCGTCCCCAAGCCAAACACATTTGTTGATGATAATGATGGTGAAGATGATGACTTGGTATCCCACATGGTATGCTAGTGCCACGTTGGCAAGTAAAAAGGGTCCACGCGCGGAGAAATTAGATACAGACCACTAAAACCGAACTACCTCGGTAATCACAATCATGACTGACATGCATGCATGCATTTACTTAACGGACTGCTGCATACGTAGGAACTAAAGAGCCCACTTCCGGTGACCACGCGCAGTGGTCCTCGATTTAATTGGGAATATAATATATTTATACGAGTTGCATTATATTTAAGAAATTGTTATTCTCATTTCAAAAATCTCCTTCTACATTTTAAATTTTTTATATTTGAAAAGAAAAATACACTTGTGAGGAGTGTAAAATAAGATTTTCAGAATACCAATAACACTTTCCTATATTTATTATCTATTTGTATTGTACTATATTTTTAATAGAGTTAAAGTCCACAAATATTTTTGGGTTTCATCTTTATTAGAGAGATGCCATAAACGGTTGGTACAAATAGATGGTAAGAATTTTTTATATTTTCACTTTTTTTTTTTTTTTTGACAATTAGATTACATGAATTAAACAAAATTGGGATTGTTATCAGTTAAGTTGGAGGCAAAGAGTCGTGTCAAAAATAAAATATTGATACTACCTTTAATATAATGACTATTTGACGAAATGGACAAAAATGAGATGAACTGAGACTAAATGAGATAAAAATTGTAATTTCAGAGGACCAAGCGAGACAAAATCAGTTTTATGGGTTTAACTAAGACTATCTGACAATTTCAAGAGGCAAATCAAATAATAAGCCGGAAAAAAAATGTTGTTTAGGAGTTTATCATGTCCCATATAATATCCTTTGTTTTTCATGGATTATGCTTCTCTATATTTTACCTACTATATATTATTGCTCAGATAGAGTCTAACAGTTGGAGAATAGATTGCATGAAACATGTTTATAGTCATTGTGAATGGACAAAGTATATTCCGTTCAAGTTTTCTCTTAATCAAAATTGAACCGCGAAATCTGTTCGGTACGTGCGGTTTTGCTCAAGAATTGTCATATTAACTAAACTGGTTCACAAATTGTCCGACTAGGGGTCACGTTCATTTGGTTTGTCTCTCTTGCATTTTCGAAGGTTTGACCATTAAACAGATTTGGCAATATCCAGAGTGAATTAATTTTTAATAAACACACGCAAGTCCTGGATTTTTTTATGTCAGACTCAAATTCTCAGCATGCCTCCTAATATGTGGCGTGAATCAAGTTTATGGGAAACAAATACTTAGTGATGTGAAATCATGAGACGTTGAGCTCAATATGTAAGTTAATCTGCTCTAATGCTTTGAACATCACCTTTCATTCATGGCAACATAGTGTATTTACACCGCCTCATATTCCTACTTAAGAATTGATTAAGAGACTTACGTGCTCCAACATAACCCAATATGTGTTTTTCACGTACTAAGTTAATTGATCTCACACATCAAAGTACATGTGGCAAGTACGAATCAATTGCATGTACCACATTAATTAAGTACCCATTAAAAGAATCAATATCTTCATTTAGAATTCAACAATTCTCATTGGAGCTGGAATCAAACATAGTCCAGAAACCTCATCTTTCAAAAAAGATCCCAAGCTGTTTAGCCAAATAAATAACAGAAAAGAAATTTAGAGGTTGAGTGTTGTCTCCCAAAACAAAATAAAGAAATAATTAACATATGGTGAAACAGGACCATAACCTCAAAATTACCTACATCTGTAGCCCATCAATCCAGAAAAACTGGCAAACAAAATACACAGAGACTCATCTTCTACACGGAAGCGATCCGCAAGAAGAAAGTCTTGCAATCGAAATTAGTAAACAAACGTTAAAGCCACTTTTACAGTTTCATTCTGCCTAACATTGATTTGAAAAGATTAAAATTGGTAATTAAAAAATGATTAGGTACTAATAAGATTAGGTTTTTGCACACTTTATTCCTTAAGGAGTTGACATTGACAAGCACTTTCAGCATCGGGCCTGAAAAAAAAACGTCAGCAGTGGGAAGAAGCTATCTAGGGTTGGTAGTATACATAGTAGCCAACGGCGTTGGTTGGACTAGTCAGAGAGCTATAGGGACCCCATGCGCGTGTCTAAATTATTGACCTCTGATTACCACTACAGTCACATTCTGCTGTCCAAATCACTCTGTGCCACTCTGTGATGCTCTTTTTGGGAAGGTACGAATACTACACTACTCTCCCCTCACGGCCCTTTGCGAACCCTAAATTTATGGGAATGAGGATCCTCTTTGTTGAAAATTTTTTGATTGTAATGGAAACACGTTTGATAGATCATATGTTTTTATGTAAGTGGTAAGAAATTTTATTTTTTAAGTTATTAACTTTTTAACACACATGTCCTATCATTTGTATAATGACACGTAATGTACCATCTCGTGTGTCAATCACATTGAAAAATCTCTTTTTGTGAGGGGATCTTCGCATCGTGTCTGTTTATCGTACATTGTGGGGTAAGTTTTCGTCATGTACTGTTCAGGTTTAATTTTAAATAAATTTTTTTAATAATTTATGATTGCACGATATACAATAAACGGATACGATTTGAGAATCTTCAAGATCTAGATAGAGAGGATCTCATTCAATTTATGGTATTACCAGTTCACCAGTGCCTTGGTTTGCTGAGTCCAGAAATTTACCTCCACAAATGCTAAGGGACTATATAAAAAGAGTCTGGATCCTTGCCGTATCCTCTTTGTGAGGATATTGGAAATTCGTAAATCGTGTCCCTTTATCGTACATAGCGTGGTCAGAAATCATTTAAATTTTTTTTATTTAAAAATAAACATAAACAATATTTAGCAAAAACTGACCGCACTATGTACGATGAACGGACACGATTCATGAATCTCCATGATCCTCACCAAAAGGATCTGGAGATGATCCTGTTGGATATAAAAAAAATCTTTATAGACCTTTTGGTATTTCATAGTTTGAGGTCAATTTTGCGTTAACATTTGTAAAATATTATAATGCTGAAGGAACTATCTCAAAAGTAAAACTCTTCATAGATTTTCTGACATCTCATAGTTTATATGTTAATTTTTACGTCAACATTATAAAATATTATGAAATATGAGATTGTAGAAAATCATAGAATCCCACTTTTAAGAGAGTCATCGTAACATTTCTTATTTATCTACCTCGTAAAGAAAAGTACATAGCTTTGATTATTACAATTTACTGGGAGCAGTTGA